CAAATTACCTGTATACAGAGGCGAATAGGATGGGAAATTTCTTCCATAACTTATTACTACTCCTACTTGTCTGCAAGTAGCACCTCTAAATTAAACTTTGCGTTCCCATTTACGATTTACAAATTTCGAGGCCTCGAATTTGTGACACAGCCTATCCTAATGTCTGAGTTTAACTAACCCAACTTCATTATTCAGGCCGTTCGTATCGAATTTCACATGCCACCGCCGTTACCGCACGCAAATTGCTTAATGCTTAAAATCGTGTTATTGTGTCGTGTCGCCAAACGTTGGATCAAAGCACATTTTTTAATACCATCCAACTATTCGAGAACCACATCCCAATCAAACTGTCCCATGATAAATTACAGGCAGCACACTTCAGGATCAAATATCATGTGGTGCTGCGCAGGATCAGGTAAAAGCACATCCCTGTAGAACAAATCAAACCACAAGCTATGCCACCAATTCACATCATTTGAGTGAAAGTAACAGTGGCTAGATTGCTTGTGAACTGGTTACAAAAACTGGATGTGTTGTAATCGGATAATAAGGTCACTTTATTGGCTTGAAGTGGATTTTGTCCATGAATCACTTGCCTTGGTCCAAACCCACAGCTAGCCTCGTTGTGCTGTGATGATACACAGGAATTTAGCGACCATCACAGCACGCTGAGTAATGTTGCAAGGGACTGTGCCATATTTAACCTTATTTGACATATTTTGCAAGCAGCACTCTAGTAAACCTTCACATCCCATTTGCCCGCTTTAATCCACGTGCCTTTCGATGAGCTAATTTACAGTCAACAGCGTTGATGAAGGTCCCTGTCTATATCTGTTAGGAATACTACCTGTAGCAATGCAAAGATCGCACCACCAATTCGCATTACGATACGTGACACCTTACAAGTCCAGATTTCTTCAATAAAGTCCGTGTTATAGAATAGTAATATGCCATCGTGACGAACCATTCAGAGAATTTGTGTCAAATTGGTTTCATAAACTGCAAATCTAGTGACTAGAAAACAAGGTGTCGTAAGTTTGATTAAATTCGGTTGCAACCATTCACCACTTAATGTGAACGAACAGCGCAACTCATGACATATGCTGGCGCTGCAACGCAAGGTGGTAAGGGAGCCTAACACACTTGTCCTTTTCTTTCCTTCAACAAATCTCACCTGATGGTAAAACGTCCTCCTTATGTTGCTCACCCATGTTATACAACTCATATTCTGATTAAGTAATCGTATGTAATTAAACAACCGGGCCATATAAGTTTAACTTCTCCAAAAGAAGATGTTTTCGAGCAAGTAAGGTGGTGTGGCAAAGGCCAGTTGTCTGCAGATTTTGTAATCTCGATGCCGTGAGGTCAAACGCCACAGGGCAGGCAACACATTACAATGACTTTAATAGCTTTACTACAAGCACTATCATCTCATGAGGACATTTTGAGTTATTATGCATTTAGCCGAACAGCGGTACGCTTATCAATTTAAGCCCTGACTTTATTCGGACTGTAGATTTTAATCAAATTCTTAAAGCGATCTGTTAAGACTTTGTGCACATTGGTGAATGTCGGCTCAGTATATACCAAAAGTATAAAATACTAATTAGGGCTACTAAGGTGCTAGCCTAAAATAAAATTGCATTGTTACAATCGGCAAAGTAAATGTGCATTATTACAATACGGTTTAAGCTCTCGAGATTTATTTCAAAATGGGTTATTAACAACATTCGGGAAATCTGTTACCAGGATTTGCGGTGAACTTTGCTGAAGCCACTTCTGTCAAGTCGCCTTGTGCAGCTGAAACAAGTTCTATAAATAAAAGTTAAATGAAAGCATACGCGAGGATACAGTACACTTTTTTGGGCTCATCTATCATCCGATGTAACATTGCATCTATTTTAAAACATTTAGCACACCATTCCAAGCAGCTTTTAAGAAATGTGATTAAGACTAAATTATTTAAAGAAATTCGAAAACAGGTAAATTTCTGGTCTCATATGCCTTTTGACGCTTTTACGTGATTCGACGTATAATGTGGATTTTGGTGCAATTTGACAAATTGAATTTGTATTTCTGATTCAAGACCTGGCGAATATACACATCAAGCAATTTTTTGATTTTATGGTAGGTACCAGATTGACTAACAAGCCTTCTAAAATGAGTAGAGTATAGGTATTGCATGACTTATTCGACATTTTAGTAAGGGGGACGCAATATTCATTCAACAGCGGTGACTGCATATAGTTATGGCTAATAGGCTTTACTTACCACTCCTTTTTACCATGATAAGTAACAGCCAAAAACCTAAAACGAAAGACATCCGTTTAACATCCATGCGTGCAGATCGCAACCAAATTTGCGCACTTAACTGCCTCTCAATTGACCTTAAATAGGTTAATCATTGTGAAACGTTGAAACAAGACAGTGACAAAACATAAAGCTACTCCACTTTAGTTGTAAATATTAGTAGCAACTACTGACAATTTAAACTCGAAAATGTAAACCAATACAACTTAAATGTATATGGTATTGGTAAAATGGTTCACTTTTCTCAGTTTGCTTTTTTTTAATTATGCGCCTAATCTGCCTTTTTTCTTGCTTCATGTGGTTTTCAGATCTGGAGCATAAGAGGTAAGAACTTTAAGATATTTCGTAGAAGTATGATGTTAGAAGCATTTTTGAAGTCGCTACTATGTCGACATAGTTCTTCAACCCATATATAACGCAGAATGTGAATCTCGCTGTGTCAATTATGAATACACACAACTGCGAAATTTTGATGGGTTGCTTTTGGAAGTTGGTCGTCCACACCTATTTTTAAACTTTATCTCAAATCCTTACACCATACCATCAAGTTTAAAGTTTGTTACGCTTTTATCAAGTCAAGGTCAACCTTGACTTGAA